TTTTTTTTAGTATTGTTAATGCTTTGGTACTTCAAAACAGGTTTTATAGTAACATTTTCGATAAATCTTTAACTGCAATTTCAAAATAGGTTACAATAAATAGGTAAATCGATTTTTGGTAATTGTGTGGTGGTTTCTGTTGGTTTTTTTTTTCTTCGTAATTATGATATCATAATTTCATTACTTTTTTATTTTAGAATTACGTTATGACGCATTTATAAGATTTATAAAATAAAAAAACCTGATTTCTTTTTATTGTAAATTTTTTTTAGTTAAAAAGATATAAATATATGCTATTAGTTAATTTTATATTTTATCTATTTTATGCCTAATAATTTGTTATACGTATTTTAAGGGGATCTTTGTAAATGGAGGGTCGTAACTAAAAACCTTTAAAAATATGGAAAATATTGTAGTTTTGCGCATCAATATCGAGTTACTTAAGTTTTATTTATGTGTTTAACTAATTAGTTAGCTTAGTCTGTATTTGCAACACTTTTGAGGAAAGAAAGAAAACATTCTTATATAAGTAGATCATTGTTTTACATTTTATTATTTTATTTTATTCACCTGGCTACCATTAAAGCAAAAAGAGGGAAGGAACCTCTTTATTAGAGTCAAAATATTTAGGAAAATTAAATTTCGAGTTACAAAAGGAATTTTTAGTAAAGGGTGGCAAATTACCGTTTACTAAAAATTTAATGAAATAAAGAGGCCAAACAAATAATATAGAATTGGTCTGTGTTGAATAGACTTAAGACCCGGGTCTTAACTTGAATAGACTCAAGACCCGGGTCGGGTCAGCTTGGTTAAAAATTTTTATGTCTTCTTATCTCTTATAATTTTTATTTTAGTTTTTCATATGATGCATTAATGTATTAAAAAATTTGTTATACCCATGGTTTGATCGTAAATTAAATTTTTTTTGTTTGAAAGGTATTTGTACACAGTTGCGTAGTTATAATAAACTTTGTTATTTTTTATAAATTTATTTAAATGTGTGCATTTAACATTTTTAAGTTAACAATTTTCTTTTCTAAAGAACAATTAATCAAGGGGATACCAAAAAATTGATAACTCCTGTATAATATAAGTTAACTTCATTTTAATCTTAATGGTTCGTGTTATAAAAATTGTTACAAGGATTTAGTTGACACTTTCGTCAATTTAAAGCATGACCAAGTGTTATTATTTTTTGTCAGTAACTAAAAACGTATTGTGTTAAACTTAGGAAGGTCGATGAAAATGGTTCTGCCTTACACTGTTATGACCTATGGCATTTGTAAATTACTTGAATAATGTTAAGTAGTAATTGTAAATGTTAAATAGTAGTTGGTAAATTATTTTACCTCCTCATAATTTTTATGTTAATTTTACAGATGGATTAATTTTTTCAAGCTGAAGGCGATTTTCTAAAAGGGTATTAGTTAAGGTTTTGCAAGATTAAATTGTGGAAAACAGCCAATATAAATTAATTATGTAACAAACCGACCAAAACCCGTATTACGGGTTGCCTTTTGCTAGTTTCTATTATTTGATCTTTAAATAAATTTTTTTTATTTGATTGCATAAAGTAATAGTTTTTTAAATTGATAAAAGCCATTTACTTCTTATTAGGGTAAAAGGTTACATCTGTCCAACAACATTTCTGGAGTGGTCCAAGATCATCTGTATTTTCTAATAACATCTAATAACATCTGTTCAATATCATCTGAAAATTCAATGACCCCGAACAACATCTTTAGAAAGATGTAACTACGTCTGGTAAATTTTCTCCAAGTCCAATAACATCTGGAAGAACTTTCTTTAGATGTAGATACATATGAAAAAAGTTTTATATGTAATTGCATCTTGTTAAAATAATGCACTATTATTTAATTTTTTTTCCAGATGTAACCACATCCGAAAAAAATCCATTATTAACTACATCTGGTTAAAATAATTCATTATTATTTAATTTTTTTTCTAGATGAAGTTACATCTGAAAAAATGTCTATATGTAATAACATCTGGTTAAAATAATGCTTTATTAGTAATTTATTTTTTCCAGATGTAGTTACATCTGAAAATATTTCTATATGTAATTACATCTTGTTAAAATAATGCTTTATTAGTAATTTATTTTTTCCAGATTTAATTACATCTGAAAAAAATCCTATGTAACCAGAGGCGTAGGCAGAATTTTTTGTTGTTCGAGATTAAGTAACTTTCAGACATGGAGCAAACTTAAAAAGTTCATCGTGTCATACAAAAGAAATAGGAATTAACAAAAGAATATGTTAAAAAGCTACGCAATATGTATAAAAAATAGCAGCTAAAAAGAGAATGGTTAAAACCTGGTATGAATAAATAGGTTAACATGGTTAACCTATTTATTCATACCAGGTTTTAACCATTCTATAAACATACTTTCTTTAAGTTTTAACTAAAATTTGTTAGATGCTGAATCTAACACAGAAAAACACTCATCATTTATTTGCATGAAACAATTTTCATAAGCATAGAGATGCTTAAAGATATGAGACTTTTTGTCTCTCTTGTAATGTTCAGATATCCGGGTCTTGAGATGACAAGTAGTTTCGCCTATATAACAGAAGTTAGATCCTGCACATACAAGTTTATACACAACAAATAATTCGAACTCTAGAGAAATAGGACCATTAGAAAAAAAGAATTCAGAAATTTTCAGTGAGGTAAATACTAATTTAATATTTGCTGAAATGCAATATTTTTTAGCAATTAATTTCAGTCTTTTTTAGTTGAATCAGATATTTTTCCCAACAACAAAGTTTAAAATAAAACAAAGATTCTTTGATTTTGGTTGTGCTGGAGGATTTGAATTAATCTTGTTTAAGTAGGAGTTATATGTTTTTGAAATGAGCCAAGATGGGTACATGTTTCTTTGAAATACTAAAAAGAGGAAGTTTAAGTCAGAGTGAAACCCAAGTTTTTAATTTTTTATTGAAAACGATTAAACATTTGATTAGATTAACTCTGTACAAAAATGGAGTGAAACAATAAAAATTAGTGGAAAGACCAGAATAGGTTTTTTTTTATGAAAAACGGTAGTAATAACTGAAGAATTAGTTTAGTGTAGAGTTACATCTAAAAAAGATATTTTTGAATTTACTTCTTGTTTCATAGTAAAAGAAATTGTGTCTACTATTTATATATCTAAGAAAAAGATGTGCGTCATTTTCTGACTGGAAAGAAGCACAAATGTCATCAACGTATCTTTTGTAGAAAATTGAAACTTTTGATCTATTTATTTTCAAAATGACCTATGAACAAATTGGCAAGAACAGGTGCCAGTAAAGAACCCAATGCTACACCATCGATTTGATAAAAAGTTTGGCCTTTAAAAAGAAAACCTTTTTTAACACCTTTTAAAAGTATTTTTACAAATTTTAAAAATTTAATTTTAACTGAAGATGACTAGAGTTAGCCCAGACATGTATTGTTTTTTATTAATAAAATGGTTTTAAAAATTAGAAAATTTGTCTTGTTTATAAATAAATAAATAAATATATATATATATATATATATATATATATATATATATATATATATATATATATATATATATATATATATATATATATATATATATATATATAGTATATATATACATATATATATATATATATATATATATATATATATATATATATATATATATATATATATATATATATATATATATATATATATATATATATATATATATATATATATATATATATATAGTATATATATACATATATATATATATATATATATATATATACATATATATATATATATATATATATATATATATATATATATATATATATATATATATATATATATATATATATATATATATATATATATATATATATATATATATATATATATATATATATATATATATATATATATATATATATATATATATATATAGGTGGATTCAATGTTCAAAATGCATAACCTGGGTTCATTCGGACTGTTGTTCGTTTCAAAATACTGGTCAAGCAATATGTGGTTTATGTGACTAGTGACAGTTTAATTATAGCTGTAATATATTATAAAATGTATTTCTTGCTAATCCTCTTAAAGATCTGTTTTGTTTAACTTTATTTATTTAAATTACTAAAAAAATTCTCATTTTGAATCAAGTGAAATGATAATATAATAATAAAAGAGTTTGTTAAAAGAATATTGTGCTTTCTATTGCAATAATTGTTTAGTATCTCTTTTTTTAGAAATATTTTCACCTAAATATTTTTACGTAAAAATAAAAGTATTGCTTTTGCATAATAATACCAGAATCAAGTTCTGCACACAAAAATCTTATGTCAAGTTAATCTTTAACTTAAAAATATGTTTGTATATGTTTGTTTGTTTATGCTTGTCTGCATATGTTTGTTTGTATATGTATATGATTGTTTGTATATGTATATGTTTGTTCGTATATGTATATGTTTGTTTGTATATGTATATGCTTGTTTGTATATGTTTGTTTGTATATGTTTAGCCTCATTTAGAGGTTTAAAAGACGCTTAGTTGAAAAAAAAAGAGTTTACAAAATATAATTGTAAACCTGATTTTTACCTTAATTCTATGAATAGGATATAAACTATGCTTTTAATATAACTTTTCTAAAGCTAGTTTATATCAAATTTGTAAAACAATTTCTTTACAAGTAGCTTGCAAGGTAACAACGCAGCAGTTGTTATATCTATTAAAGTTTTGTGTATGGAGAATAAAACTCTTTTTATTTTAATTGTGCAAATACATTTCTACTACTGAGAAAGTTACGTTTTTATCGCCGCAAGAACCACCAAGTTCTTACAATTAATTTTTCAGACTAACTGCCTTACTCCAAATCTTTTTTATTGAAATGAAATTATTTAATATAAAAGAATTCAATGTATTTAATGTTTTATATTTTACATAGATATTAAAAACGGCCACCAGGTTTTAAAGTAAAGATATTTTTTAAAAAAGTTTCTTACTGGACTTCTGATCCAAAGGTCGGATTTCAAATCTTTTTTAGTCATAAAAACGTAAGAATGAAAACGGGGAATTTTGCCTCATTAAATGTTATTCCCAAGATGGTGCTCAGAGATAAGACCATTTGGTTTTCTATGAACATCTTTTATACTAATTAAAAAATAATAAGAAAATAAATATACTCTAAGGAAATAAAAAATTGTTAATTTTTTTTTTTTTTTTTGAATTGATTAAATCTAAGTTATTCAATTTTATATCTATTATTCCCGTGGAAATAAAATTATTAAATTTTGACCTACCCTTTTGCTTTCACATCTTTTTTTTTAAACCAAATTTAAAATTATAAAACTTTACATAATAATGCCTAGCATTTTAATTAAAAAAATTTGTTATGAATTTTTATTATGTATATTTATTTACTGATTTGTTTTTCTGTTTAATATAATTTTTATTAACTATATAATTTTTATATAGCTTTGGCGACAAGATCGTTGCGATTTTCATTTAGATACATTGTTATATTTTGAGATTCGAGATGTATAGTGTTTGTCTCTTGTTTATCTTTATTTAATTTTAGAGGCGTTGTTACTGTAGAGCAGTTGGACCCATCTGCTCCAGGTGCTCGAGCATGAACGAGGAAAATTACAAGATACGTATAATTTTAACAAAGATACTTCTACGAATAAAGTTTAGTTTTTTAATAAAAAATTATCAATCAAATCTAAAATGAGTTCATACTTTTCAATATCTGTTAGAATCATATGTTCACGAAAGGAAACCTAGGCGCCTAAAATGAGACCTTAACGGTTTTTATAATCTACAGACGCAACCAAGATAATTCACTTGATATAGAGTGTAATTATTTTCTTTTTTCTTTTAAAACTTATTTTAATTTTATCTTCGGAAAAATCTTTTACTCGCAAACATTATTTTTTTTTACTTTTCTTAAAGTCTTAAAAGTTGATTTTTTTAAAAAAAACTATGTTTCAAAACAAACGTAATGAAACTTAAGTTTACGTTTATTGCAGTTAATAATATAATACTCAAAATATTTACTGACTGTAAAAATTACAATTTTCTTCACTATTTCCCAGTTCTCTTTATGCTGTGAATTTTATTTTTTTTAACCTCAAGCTAAAATGAAAAAAAAAATTATTTCCATAAAAAATTTTTTTTTTTAATTTGGTGTCCCAAGCAGAGGCAATTTTACGGGTGGGTAGGGGGAGAGGGGTGATTTTTAAGTTACAGTACTTTTTTTAAAAAGTCAGTCGGTACTATTTAGGGATTGACTCACCCCATCCACCCCACCCCCTCACCCCCAATCCTCATTTTATTCGTAGAACCGCCTGCAAATATTTTGGTAAGTGCAACGAGATTTCTATATTTTCAGTTTTCAAAAAAAAAAAAAAAGTCTTAGTAGTTTAAGTTTCTGCTTATTAAATTTCGGTAGAAACTATGTAGAATAATTTATACAGAATGTAGAATAATTTATACAGCACAGTATAAAAAGATAAACATTCTACCGTAATTTAATAAACAGAAATTTAAATTACTAAAACATTTTTTGTACTGAAACCTAAAATATAGAACTTTGTACTTTGAACTTTGAAATTTTTATTCACGTAAAGTTAAGTTATTTACTCAGTAATTGCTCAGTTTTACGTGCTAAAGTTATTATTTAAAAGCAAAATTGCTTTAAAATTGCAAGTTTTACGTGCTAAAGTTATTATTTAAAAGCAAAATTGCTAAAGTTATTATTTAAAAGCAAAATTGCTAAAGTTATTATTTAAAAGCAAAATTGCTAAAGTTATTATTTAAAAAAAAATTGCTAAAGTTTTTATTTAAAAGCAAAATTGCTAAAGTTTTTCACGTAAAGCTGACCAATTACTGAGGAAAGGCATTTGCTCATTTTTATTCACTCGGCCTTGTGTAATTTGAGCATTTACCAGAAAGTTCACTCTTCCTTCTCAATGTCGTTTCCTTCACTCTTCCTTCTATACCAATGTCGTTTCCTTCACTCTTCCTTCTATACCAATGTCGTTTATTGTGCTGAAGCCGGCGTCGAACCCGGGTCTATCCACTGCGCTACGGCTGCAGTAGTTAGAGTTCTGGCTATACTCTAAACTTAAATGCTGTGTTTAACAGTATCAAATACAATATTGTGTTATTTAATTATTTTGAGGAGGAAAAGATATAAAAATTTGTTGGATTAAAAAAATTTTACTTTACTAAAGTTTTTTTAATCCAACAAATTTTTATATCAATTCATCTTCAAAGTAATTAAATAATACATAATTGTATTTGATATTTATTAAAATTGATTATTCCTAGCATTATAAAATTGATTATTCCTAGTTTTTTAAAACCAAAATAGGTTTTCTGCAAACTTGTGACTACACAAACAACTAATGCTAAAAACAATTAATTTTTCTAAAAAATAATTACAATACAAACAAATAGACAAATAATAAAATAGAGTATTATATATTTTTAAATTGCAGTGCTTGGTTTTTTCCTCAAAGAACTTTTTTACTAACAACTGAAGTTTAACCACAAAATAAAACTGTCAAGCGGTCACTCTGTCACGTGACTATTACAACTAAAAATAGGTTTTACAAATTTAAATAATTCATCTGGTATTTCTTTAAATAGTTCATTTAGTTCATCTTGTACTTCTTTAAAATATTTTTTAATTAGAAGGAGAAAACTTGTATCAATTTAGATTATCAAGTTTTATTAGATAAAATTTTAATCAGGTTTTAATGTAAAAAGTTTTGCAGCAATAAATTGTTAAATATTTTTTCTTAATTTCTTAACTTATGCACTAATAAACTTTTTTTATTTAGTTTTAAAAACATTGAGAACCACTTCTATGTAATTAAGAATCGGGCGCGGATGCAGCGTTTTTTGGTGTTTGAGCTACTTCTAGACATGGATTAAACTCCGAAAATTTATATTTGAACGGCCAATAGGAGTGACTTTAAATACGAGAAAATGTTTTAATTTTTAAAACTGCAGCTAGATTAATACATAAATATAGGAAAAATTTCTGGTAAAGGTCACTGATAACAGGAAGTGTATTTTGTGTAGAAATATATTCTGCATATCAAGTTGGTGTTTCAATGTTGATTTTGTAGTAACTGTTTTTATTATAGATTAGTCCACAACAACTGGAAGTTTCTTTGCTGCATTTATCATATTTTATCCACACTGTGAAATTAATCCTAATGCTACATAAATCTGATGGTGTTAATAAAAAAGTTACAAAACTTTGGGGTAAGTTACAAGTTATGCCAAAAAATTTCAGCTATTTTCTTTTATATATAGAGGAGAGTTCCCATCATTGGATCAGCGCCTTAATAGGAACACTTGTTAATTGGAACATTTATTTTTGAAAAATAATGAATTATGGCTATATTTTGCATTTTTCTAGTAAAACGCCTTACTATCTACGTTTCAACACATTTTGGAATTTATTCAATAAAAAATGCATGTAAACCATTTTTTTTTTGTCATTTTTTTTGGTGATCTAATTTTGTGTTCGCACTATATTGATTGCGCTGGATAAACTATACTCCAATAGGTTATACAGTTTTTTGTATTTAATTCGATAGAATTTAAAATGCGAAATAACTGTATAAACTTATCTATAAGTTGTTGCAAGCATGATATTGCAGTGATTAACAAAATATCCAAAGTTTCCTTGATTGAAACTATTAGATTTTCCTTACTAATTCAGAAATTCAAAAAATCAAAGAGTTGTAGAAGTAATTTATTTTTAAAATTACTTAGTAACAACATAAATCTTAAAAATAAATAAGGAGAGTGTCATAACAGTTGAAGCTTTTATACAATTTTTTGTTTGTAGAATACCAGTTTGCTAGGGTAATATTAATCCTATTATAAGTTTTGATTGAACTGTTTAAATTTTTACTGTAAAGATAAAAATCATTTTTATTCAATTTTTGTGGATTTTACTGGGTTTTTTATTAAAAAAAAAAAACAACTTGTTTTGATTAAGGAATCAAAGTGTTTCAATTTAGGGAACTATTTGCCTTGATTGGAACAAAATGGTATCTTTGCAAAAACAAATGTATTTCCAATAACAGGGCAATTAATAAAGTCAAATTATGGTTAAAAGTATAGTAGGGTTGTCTGTTGGTAATAATCAAGTCGAAGCATTAAGGACTATAGATTTGACACTTGTGCGATTGGCAGTAGTATTTCATTAATGATCCTTCCCATATTTAACTTTAAATCCCACTTTATTTGTAATATACCAATAGGATGTGATGGATTAGCATATTTAACACTTTTAGCATATTTAGCATATTTAACTTTTAATACGCTGAGTCGTGCACGTTGCTCCATCGATCGGGATAGCCTTATGTTAAAGATAATATTCGGCTTGCCATTTATGGCGGCTGCCACTAATGGTCCACTAAGTAACCGATGAGCGAAACTCCAATGAACCGCTAAAAAATGCCTATATTATTGAAAGAGTCGATATTGCAGATATCTTTTCTTGAAAATGCAACAAATATCTTTTGTTGAAAATATCTAAAACAGATATCTTCTGTTGAAGATATCTGCAACAGATATGTTCTGTTGAAGATATCTGCGACAGATATGTTCTATTGAAGATATCTGCAACAGATATCTTTTGTTAAAGATATCTTCAACAGATATCTTTGTTAAAGATATCTGCGAAAAATATCTTCTGTTGAAGATATCTGTAAAAAGGAAATTAACAGGAAATTAACAGCTGAGTTAATATTGTTTGTACAGTGTCAAAAATACTTTAAACTAGCAGCGGACTTAGCAGTCAAATAACTTTATACATTTGCATCGTTCTACATTTTCTTGCTAAACCCTTTTATAATGCCGAGCAGCGGGTATCAATATAAATCAACAGTAACAGTTATAGCTTCAGTCAATTATTTGAATAGATAAAGTTTATTATAGTAGTTTGTACATTATTTCGGGTTATTTCGTCTTTAAGACGAATTATTCTTAACAACTTCAATACAAGGAAGGTAAGAAAATCCAATTTGATATTCCGATTGCATTTTTTTTTCTCTAAAAAGAAATAATTTTAGATCCAAGCCTTTTGGCGTGAATTTGACTAATAAAAAGTTACATTTCAAAGGTATCGAGTTTCCAAGCAACTGTTGCTTAGATCAAGATATTTATTTGTTTTTTAAAAAAAGGTTCTCAATTATATGACTTTTTAAGTCTATAGTTTCCTACGGTTACAAAATTAATTATTTATTCACACATTTTATTATATCGCAAAAAATCTGTATTATTTTATTATATTGGTAAATACAGCGCGTTTGTAAAAAGATGAAATAACTGAACATAAATTTTTTTTATTTTTATTTTAATATCATTAACATTGTGTATAATAGATAGTAGAAAATAAATGTTATGAAATTAAAATAAACTCATAATTAATGGAAAGGTGAGGATAGTGAAATGTGAATTTTGTAGTTCGCTACCAGTAGCTCTAAATCTTGCTACCAGTACCTATAAATCTTGCTACCAGTAGCTCTAAATCTTGCATACTTTATACTTTTACTCTCGTTTTTTGATGATTTTCGTTGGTAAAAAGTATTATGAGGTTTGTCAAATATATCTGTAAATTTATAACATTTTTTTAATAATAATTTTGGTTTGTTTGAATGCTGCGTTGTTTAAATCTTTAATAAGAAAATAAAGGGAGGGGAAAACAACTTTTTTGTCAATACAACTTGTAGAAAACGTGTAATAAAAAAAGAATCTGCATGATCAGTTAGGAATGTTAAGTATTCTGAAATCTTTTTAGTTTTCTTTATTGTCTTCTCTCCACTTTAAATCACCAACTGCTATGTTTATGTAATTTATGCAAAATGAATCTAAACGTAACTATCCTTAACTATCAGTGTTCATGTTTTTATCAGCGTAATCTATTTTAAAAATGAAAAAAACTCCGTCATGAAAAATCTCAATCAGGTTTTACACCCACTATTATTCTCCCACAGGAATTCATTTGAAATACAGAACTCGTAATCACTTTAATTTTTTTGAAACATTCCTTTTCGATTTAGGAAGCAGATGGAGCTGTCATTTTGGTTTCTTTCAACATTAAATAAATCATTCAACAACAAAAAAATAAATAAACTCTACAATAATCTCATTTATGCTGTTTGAAATTTTTACTGGACCGTCTTATATAATATTAGCTATTGCATAACTTAATAATGACTTATAAACACGTTTAACTTTATAAACACCTTTAAGCTATTTTTATAGTTAGACTTATTACCCATAAATCTACCACGTATTTACAGAAGTTACTTTTTTGTGTTTAGAACGCAAGTTATCTAGCATCGAAAGAGTGCATATTACCACTTTTCGGAAAAGGTACATTACTTCTTTTAATATGAATTACTACTTTCTTCTTCTTTATATATATATATATATATATATATATATATATATATATATATATATATATATATATATATATATATATATATATATATATATATATATATATATATATATATATATATATATATATATATATATATATATATATGTATATATATATATATATATATATATATATATATATATATATATATATATATATATATATATATATATATATATATATATATATATATATTTGTGTGAGTTATGTTCTTTTACACTATTATTATTATTATTATTATTATTATTATTGTATTTTGGTATTACTTTTTAAGTATTATATTCTTGATTAATTCTTAATAAGAAAAAAATAGAATTAGACTTTTATAATTTACAAAATAATAACTTACGAATTTACAAAAAAATACAACGTTCCTCGTTTTTTGAAAATAACGCAGAACGTCATTTAAAAGTAAGCTATAGCGGTTTGCATTTGTTTTATTTCTATTAAAATTGGTTTCTTCATATGGAAATTAAAACGATTTAATTTACATTTAGAAAATTTGCTCTACTAATATTTTTTACCGTATTCCTTATTTTTTCATCTAAATGGTTTCAATACAACTAAAGTAGCATTTAATTTTAAACAATTTTGTGAAGCGCTATGAATATTAATTTACGGTGCTTCGTAAATTTTTTTAAAAAATAGGACGCTCTAAAGATTTGTTTTGATTCTCACCACCTGTTTATAACTCCATTATGATTTTGAAACAAAACAGTTTTTATATTTTGAAAATGTTGTTGTTAATTTGTTTTAGTCATGAAGTTTTGTTTATTTTATTGTTTTTAGGTTTCTACTAATGACGTCCTACGAAATTGCAGCAAACATTTTTTACTCCACAGTACTTGTAGTGTCAGTAATATTAAACACGACAGCTTGTTATATTATACTGTTTAAAGTAAAGAAGAAAGAACTGACACATATATTTATTATTAGCCTTTCAGTAACAAATTTGCTCGAATCTGTAATTGGTTTAATACCTCAAATAATTATATCATCTGAAGCAAAATTGGAAAAAACTCCATTGTGCATCACAGGCAGTTTTGCAGTGTTTGGGTTTGCAGTAACCAGTATAACTCACTTATCGATATTTTCTTTGGTCAGAACTGTCGCTATAAAATATCCAATTTATTATTTTAAAAATAGCAAAAGGTTTTGGTGCAGAGCAACATTAATATTAATTTGCTATTGCTATGGATTTAGTTGGGCTATATTTCCTGTAATTGGCTGGTCAAAGTATGAAATAGATCTTGATAAAAAACGTTGTTCATTGGATTGGAGAATGACAAGACCAGATTCTTTATCATATATTTTATCAATTTTAATCTTCTGTAATTTTTTGCCTGGAACACTTATTGCTATAGGTTTATATATTAGTAAAAAAGTAATTTATCGCCGAAGGACATGTAAACTTAGAAAAAATGAAAACAATCGATCTATAGATCTTTTGGAAAAAGATTATTTGAGAGTTTGTTTTCTATCTAGTATATTGTTTTTTGCTATTTGGACACCTTACGCAGTTGTTGGCATTTTAGCACTGTCAAAGATTGTTCCTCCTCCATTGTTGGTAACAACTGCCGCTATGTTTTCAAAAATATCCACCATTTCAAATGTTCTTACTAATTGTTTTATAAATACTTCTTTTAGAAAACATCTTCTTAACTTAAAAATAGTTCGAGTATTTTTAAATAAAAAAATTGAATCCCCAAGGATTGAAGATGTTTGAACTAAAACTATTTGCACAATTTATATGTTGAAAAAATGAAAACTTTGAAGTAGTTATAGTCTCAAAAACGAAAATGTGCTAAACCATCGATTATACTTAGTTTTGAGCCTGTTATGATGACTACCGTTACTATTGTTATTGCTACATAGGCTAATATTGTAATATAAATTGCACGCAGAAATATCGAAATATTACATGCTTCAAAATTATGCTTAGTTAATACTCAAATTTACAAGCAATCCTTTTATGCAAGAAATATAAGGAATAACAAATATAAACAAATGTAGGATTTTTTTAATTAATAAAACTTATCCTTAAGGTATTTTCAACAAATTTAAAAAATAATAATAAAGAGAAAAATCAACAACGAAATGAATTATAAAGCTACAGTTTTGTCAATAACTTTTATAATTTTAATTTTTACAAAAATTAAACGATTCTATTTTATATTGTAAACTCTAAGAAAATTTTCATAAGATATTTTATTTTAAAGTAAAAAGGAATAGAGCCTTGTAGAATAAAATTGTATTATTTTTTCTCATTTTTATTTTCTTTTTTATTATCCAGCAAAACGAAAATTTTGCTATTTTCGTTTTGTTTAGTAAAATCAGCCGCTTTTGAATTAAAAACAGACGACTGAAGTAGAAAAAGAAACAAGATATTTTGAGGCATTAATTTTTCAAATATTTCAGCGAGGCCTACAAAATTAAAAATAAATTAATTCAAAATAATTAAGCTGATGCAACTTCATCCTCATTTCTATTTTGAACATTTTTGCATCAAACTTTCAAACATTAATACGTAACTTGTATAAATAGAGAGTTAAAAAGTATATATTTCATGTCTCATAAATTTATTGCTTTTTATTGCTTTATCTTTGTTTTTTTGTATTTGTATTGTAATTGTAAACTAAAAAAAAATCTTTTAAACCTAAAATGATTTTTTTTAATGGAAGATTTTATGCTTACATAATAGTGTAAAATTATTGTACAAATATAAACATAATTAAGTAATAAATAAGTTATATAATAATAAATCATAAGTAAATAAAAAAATAAATAAAACGTAAGTTTAAAAAAAGTCATATTCACGCGTATGTAATGAAAAACTGAATTTTGTTTGTTTGCATTACGTCACTTTTTTGCTTCAACAACACTCATTAAAAATGAAGCTGAAAAACCTTTATTTGTTCAATTGCATGTCTTTTTGAAAAATAAGGCCGAAAAACGTCATTCAACTGCATTAACTACACTTAATAAAAAATAGAATTGTAATATATTTATTAAATAATTTAGAAAACGTTAAAATTAACCTAAATACTCCTTCTTGTTTGAAGAGAGTTCTGAGAAAATAGTTACAAAATCAAAAAGAAAATTTTTCAAAACTACTAATATATATTATGATTAATTAAAAAGAGATTTAAAAAAGAATTACGCAACAAATATATAAAAACTTAATTTATAATATATATATTTAAACAAATTATATATAAACAAATATATAATAACTAATTTAATATATTATTGTGAAATGTATATTAATTAGATTAATCCCGGTAAGCAACTATCACCCAGTGGTTCTCGGGTTTTTCTGCTTTATGAGAATCGAGAAATGTATGTGCAGCAACTTCGTGTTCACGACCGAAAGCAGTTCTAAAAACAAAAAATCAGCTTTAACCAAGACGGGAAACCTTATGAAATATTTAAACAGACCAATATAAATTCTAATAATAAGTTTCTAGAAAAGTTTACAAAATGATAACCTTCATCTGCCTAATTGTATTTCATTAATAAATAAAATTTAAAGCCAAATTTGAAAGTTATCGAATCATTTTTTCTATTAATAAGCAAGTAGCACAAACCCGTTTTTAATTTATCGATTGCATAATTCTACTCACGAATAGCTAGCATAAAAACATAACGCAAAAAAGAAGGAACAACTAAATCAAAAATCGTGATTCAAAAATTAATTTAGATAAGATCTAACTTAAATAATAGTAAGAAAGAATAGTCTGAAACAAACAAAGACACATTGTTTATATCCCTTTGATATTATTGTTCTTAAAATAGATCGTCTTTTAAAAACTATATTTGTATTATCGTAGTCTTATTAAAGAGAAGATTAAAAACACGAACTGTAAAAAAAAAAGTTTATATTACAAACGTTATATAAAAAAATAATATTAAGATAAATGAGTATCGATTGGACGAGTAAAGTTATTAATTGAGAGCGAGAAGATTAACTAAA